GTAGTAATCAGACACCGACTGCAGAAGGACACTAAGAGTGGCTACCAGGCCGGCAAGAAGGAGAGCAAGGACCTTTACGCTCCCAAGCAAGGCCCCAAAAATGGCAAAGGGAAGAAGAGCAAAAAGGGAAAAGCTCCCAAACCGGCGAAGCCAGTGGAGGAGGACGAGGAGGCCAGCCTGCAGAAAGGCCTCAAGTTCAACCTCATCAACGAAAATGTAAACGATAGTCCCAGAATCCACTTGCCCCTTAACTACCCACCGGGAAGCCCCGATCTGGGACGTCACTACCGCTCTAACTCCCCTCTACCCTCCATCATGCTGCAGCCCCAGTCGCCCTCCGCCTCCAAGAAGCACCAGGCTGTCCAGGACCTCCCCGCCACCAACACCTTCGTGGGAACGGGCGACAACACCTCAACAGGCTCCGACCAATATTCGGATTACAGCTACAAGGCCAACCCCCCCAAATACAGCAGCAAACAGGTAGGAGACTACGCAAACACGTACCAAAGGGACATCTATTGGACCAACCGGGTGTGGTAGTCACGCTGGGACTTATTTTGCAAAGCCGATATTCTTCCACCAAAGCTGCACTGATTCCCCTGCACAGCACCCACTTCCAAACGGCTGTTTTCTCTTTTATTTTTTGGTTTGGTTTGGATGTGTTCACCATTTTCTGTTCTGTTCCTTTGTTTTTTGGACATCACACTATTCACACCATGAAATATTGCATAAGGGATAGACCAAATATGGGTATACCAATATTGATCTGCTGTTATGTGGAGACCATAATCCCCCAAAGTGAACTCTGATGATCCAGAACATGCTTGAGGGTTAATGATATACTGTATGTTTGTGTTGATTTATTTTGCTGTGGTTGATTTTTCTACAATTACACGTTATTGAATTATAAGTTCCTGAAATGTTACAAGCATTACAAGTCTTACAAAGCCAGCAAAACTAAATAAATATAAAACAAGGGCATACTTTTGATATATGAAGATGTCAGTTATGGTTCATTTTGTATATCCTATATGGGTCTATCCTTAACTTCTATGTGTTTTCCTTTTGTTTCATTTGTGTTCAGTTTCACCTTTTTTCACTATGGGTTAAATGAAGGATGTTATGAGTTATTATTCACAAGTGTTTTGACTGCGACCATTGAGACGTTCACTCTGACATACTCATTAAGTCTGAATGTGTTTTTTTTTCTTTCTGGAGGGCTGATCCTGGGTTTTAAAGCTGCTCTTTATGGCCGGATCAGCTTGTTGGAGTGTGACAAAGAAGAGTGACTGTGAATTCCTGAGTTTTTATTTTCTTTGGTGGTACCCATTGCCATTGTTTCTTGGCTTTTCTTTGGCCAGGAAGTACACTAGCTTATAGGAGCACTTTAGAGTGTTTCCATCCAGTTCAGACCAATTTAAGTAATTTCAGCTCGGCCAGGGAGCCAGGCAGTGAAGACAAGAAGAAAGGGAATAAAAGAGGAAGGAGGGAGAGTTGTTAAAAAAGCCAATACAGTATGAAGGAAAAGGTACACTAAATACAACCATTTCCTAACCTCCGCACCTCCTGTCAGGTCAGCTGAAATGCGAATTTTAATTTTGCCGTGTTCCCAATCAGTGGGGTTTAAAAAGTCAATTGTTTGCACAGATTAATGGCAGGTAATTTTCCAGGCGCCCGCTTCCGCCTTCTTTTACCCAGAGTGCCTTGCTCTATTCTATTTATTGTAAAAAATAAATAGAATACAATCACATT